TCAGGAGGCTGAGGCAGGAGAATTGCTTGAACCCAGGAGGCGGAGGTTGCGGTGAGCCGAGATCGCGCCATTGCACTCCAGCCTGGGTAACAAGAGCGAAACTCCGTCTCCAAAAACAAAAAAAAAAAAAAATCAAAGTAGCATGTAAAAATTAGATGAGGCCGGGAGCAGTGGCTCACACCTATAATCACAACACTTTGGAAGGCCGAGGCAGGAGGGCTGCTTGAGGCCAGGAGTTTGAGACCAACTTGAGCAACAGAGCAAGACTCAGTCTCTATGAAAAAAATTTTTTTTTAATTAGCTGGGCATGCTAGTGCATGCCCATAGTCCCAGCTACTCGGGAGGCTGTGGTGGGAGGATCACTTGGCCCCAGGAGTTGGAGGCTGCAGTGAGCTATGCTCACACCAGTGCACACCAGCTTGGGCAACAGAGCAAGACCCCGTCTCAAAAAAATAAAAACCAAAAACTATATGAAACACAAATCGTATTTATGTATGTATGTATGTAGTTACTTATTTATTTATTTATTTTTGAGATGAAGTTTCACTCTTGTCACCCAGGCTGGAGTGCAAAGGCACAATCTGGTCTCACTCAACCTCTGCCTCCTGGGTTCAAGCGATTCCCCTGCCTCAGCCACCTGAGTAGCTGGGACTATAGGCAGGCACCACCACACCTGGCTCATTTTTTATGTTTAGTAGAGACGAGGTCTCACCATGTTGGTAAGGCTGGTCTCGAACTCCTGACCTCAAGTGATCCACTTGCCTCGGCTTTCCCAAAGTGCTGTGATTACAGGCATGAGCCACCGTGCCCGGCCTGAAATCCAAATTTTACTGGCCATAAATAAAGTCTTCTTGGAACACATCCATGCCTATTCATTTACGCACTGTCTGTGGCTGCTTTCACACCACAACAGGAAAGCTGAGTAGCTGACACTGAGACACTACTACCTATAAAAAATGAAAATATTTGCTATCTGGTCCTTCACAGAAAAAGCTGGCCAACTGCTGCTATACAGCAATAAGAAGGAAGGAACTCCAACTATAACCAACATCATGTAGAGTGGAAAAAAAGCCAGACACAAAAGAGTACACTGTATAAATCCTGTTTATAAGGTCAGAACAGGCAAAACTAATCTGTGGTTAAATACGTCAGAAGAATGGTGCCTTGGCAGGATGGTGACTGGCCAGGAAGCGAGACAGGGAAGCCTTCTAGGGTAATGGGTAAGTCTGTATTTGGATCTGGGTGGTAAGTACTCATGCACATGTAGAATACATGGACTCACTTCATCACTTCATTCTATGGATGTTAACAACTCTTTTTTTTTTTTTTTTTTGAGACAGAGTCTCGCACTGTCACCCAGGCTGGAGTGCAGTGGCACGATCTCGGCTCACTCCAACCTCCACTTCCTGGGTTCAAGTGATTCTCCTGCCTCAGCCTCCCCAGTAGCTGCGGTTACAGGTGCCTACCACCACACTGACCAATTTTTATATTTTTAGTAGAGATGGGGTTTCACCATGTTGGCCAGGCTGGTCTCGAACTCCTGACCTCAAGTGATGCACCTGCCTTGGCCTCCCAAAGTGCTGGGATTACAG